TCCTCAGGCCATTAGTATCCAAAATATGTAAAGAACTCAAAAAACTTAATACCAAAAAAAAAAAAAAATCAAACAGCCCAAGTAGTAAATGGGCAAAAAAACTAAACAGACATTTCTCAAAAGGAGAAATGCAAATGGCCAAAAAATACATTAAAAAATGTTCAACATTTCTAGCCATCAGGAAATGCAAATCAAAACTACATTAAGATTTCATCTCTATTCAGAATGACAATTATGAAGAACACAAGTAATAATAAATGTTGGTAGGATGAAGGTATACATACATTGTTGGTAGGCCTGCAAATTAGTGCAACCACTCTGGAAAGCTATATGGAAATTAGGAAGGATAGTAGAACGAAACTGACATTATTACCTTATGTACATATATGACTGCACGACCAAAGTAATACTATAACATGTACAACCAGAAAAACGATAAATTATACCCCATTTATGTATAATATATCAAAGTACATAAATGAATTCTACTGTCATGTATAACGAATTAAAACAAATAAAAAAATATTAAAAAAAAAACAGGAATGGAACAACAATGTGACCCAACTATCCCACTCCTAGGTGTAAATCCAAAAGATCCAAAATCAACATGCTATATGGTTACAGTCATATCAATGTTTTTAGTACAATTTATAACAGCTTAGCTATGGAACCAACCTAGATGAATGGATGAAGAAAATATGGTGTATATATACAATGGTGTATAACTCATGAAGAAAAATAACATTATGACGTTTGCTGGAAAACGGGTAGAACTGAAGCCCATCATGCTAAATGAAATAAGTAATATCCAGAAAGTCAAAGGTCAAACGTTTTCTCTAATAAGCAGAAGCTAGTCCAAAATGGGGAGGGGAGTGTGTGCCTGTGTAGGTGGGTGGGTGGGTTCCATTAAAATAGAGAGAAATTGGTGGAATGTAAAGAGGGATAGAGGAGGTGCGAGGAGAGAATGGGATAAGCGAAGAACAGTGGGATGAATCTGACATAATTCTCTTATGTACATATGAATACAACACAGTGAACTAACTTTTATTTATAACCACAAGGTACTAATTAAAAAAAAACTATAAGTAAATAGCAGAAAGATCACTAGAGGAAAGGGAACGGGGGAGGGAGGAAGGGAAATTAGAGTAAATTCTATTCTACACTCTTGTATCAAAATGAATCCTAATTTTATATATAACTAAAAAGAACTAATAAAAAATTTTAAAAGATTATCTAAATCTCACTGTGTTTTATCTTCAAATTTCTTACATAAAGTTTCAATTAGAGATATGATTTTACTACTTCTTATCTATATAAAAGCTATCTATCCCAATGTCATAATTAATTAGTTATCACTGAAAAAACTAACACTTCAGTAAAATTGTTTTACAAAAGAAAGGAACTTTGTCACATAAAAATTTTATTATTGCAAATAATTTAATGTCACTATTTTCAATGTTAGCATACCAAATTTAGAAGATAGTTTTTACAACTATAATTACTAAAACTAGAGAAGCTACTGAAATTCTATCAAGAGGTAGAACTTTGACTAATTCTGCCCTAAAACTCTTTCTTTCAAAAGCAATGGTCAAATTATTACTAAAATATAAGTTAATGTTTATGGAAAAAATGAAAGTATATTTCTAGGCATATTAATACATTTTAAAATCTTACAAAAAGTTGTTTTCCCCCAACTCTCAGTTTTGTGATGTTTTAATCCAGAAACTGAACTTGGGACTGTAGTTAACCTTTCCTTACTTAAAATTTAAATTCAGAGAAAATATGAGTAAAACCTACAGCAATTCTAGGTCTGGAAGTGCTTCAACTTTAATTCATTTGGGCAATTTTGGGGGACATTTGTCACTTATTAAGAGAATCAATCATCAAATGTTGAGAAGCCAATGTCATGTAAACTTCTTTTGAAAAGCAATGTCACTTTACCTTAATGATATTTTTTTCAGAATCTTATTATGAAACTCAAAATATAATCATAGATGAAATCTATGTAGTCATTAAAAATACACTTCTGGACATGAGAAAATATTCATATTTATATAACTATTTTTAATAATGTGACATAGCAGTAATGATTGTTCTTTTCTTTAAATATGTGTGTGTCTTCTTCAATGAGCATATAAAATTATATTATAAAAGTAACTGTCATTAAAAAATATTACCCTTGGGGCTGAGGTTGTGCCTCAGTGGTAGAGTGCTTGCCTATCATGTGTGAGGCAGTGGGTTTGATTCTCAGCAACCACATATAAATAAAATAAAGGTCCATTGAAAACTAAAAAATCTTTTTTTTGAAAAAAAAAAAAAATCACCCTTACCAGTATTACAAAAGCTTTCTCTCTTTTAAAAATAATCCCATTTCTATGCCTGATGGCAGAGGTGCCAAATGACAATGTTATGTCAGTGAATATATGTCTGGTACAGCTTTTTCCCAGACATTTGATTTTTCACCACACATATGAAACCACATCAGATATTTCTTGGGGTTTACTATGTCTACTATGTGTTTAGGAAGATATAAATCTATACTTAAATTAGAATTAAACTAGTATATGTTTAAGAAAAAAAAAATCTTATTATCCAAAAGTTCTAACAGAATTTTTCTTTTCTTAAATGCTGTGAAATCCAAGCCTCTTTTAGCTATACAGAGATCAACTGATATAAAATTCTTATCTGATAATTCTGTAAATAAAATTAACCTCAGAAAGTTATGTTTTGCATGCCAAAAGTGATTTTTCATGACTTTGTTTTATTCTAATTTGAATTTTATTCTAAATATTTTATGAAAGCTTTCTTATTAGAGGACCTAGAGGAACATTAAAAAAGGTAGCTAGCTGGGGCTGGGGTTGTGGTTCAGTGGTAGCGCACTCGCCTGGCATGTGTGAGGCACTGGGTTCGATCCTCAGCAACACATAAATGAAAAATAAAGATATTGTGTCCACCTAAAACTGAAAAATAAATTTTTCTTTTTTTTTTAAAAAAGGGTAGCTAGTGGCTGGGATGTGGCTCAGTGGTAGAGCACTTGCCTAGCATGTGTGAGGCCCTGGGTTCGATTCTCAGCACCACATATAAATAAAATAAAGGTCCATTTATAACTAAAATAAATATATATACATTTTTAAAAGGGAATAGTTAGAATTAGATAAAGTTGTTCAATTTATAAAACTGTGTTATTCATGCTATAAATTACTAGCATGAACATCTGAGCCAATAAAATTTAATAAACAACATATACAACAACCACATCTACTTATATATTCCCAGGCAATTTCAAAATCATGAAAAGGTAATGATCTAGCAGCTTAAATTCAATTCAAACCTTTACTGAAATCTGCTTTGTACCTTTAGACATTAAAACATGACAATAAATGAAGTCCCTGCTTACAAAGTTTAACTGTGGCAAAACTACCACATAAAAAACTTCATGCAATTTGCTATATGATTATCCACTTTCAGTTTCCACTTAAATTCAGAGAAAGGTATCTATTTTGTGTGGCGTTAGCTAATTCCAAATACTCCAAGAGAATACCTATGAAGTTTTCAAAGGAGAAAAGAGCAAGCTAACAGAAAAGAAAGGTTTAACATGGATTCCCTAATTACCATAAAGACTAAGGGTTCACGACTATTATTTCAAAAACACTTGAGAACTGAACTGGGGATCTGAGACTGTCCTCCATGGAAAAGTCAAATCCATTCTTAAAGCTCTGATTAAAGTTAACAGTTTCTACTGAAATCTAAAGTTAAATTAGAAAAAAATTAAATTATAATGACTAAAAGTGGCACAAACAAGCTCTAGATAAAGGTTCATAAGATATTATGGCAGATACAAGGTATGGACTTACCAAATAAGTTGAGCAATTTCATTTGGATCATTTATGAATTAATTAATAACAAAATAAATCATTGCGAAATTTAAAAATAATTTGTATAGAAACGATACAATTCTATGAACAAATGTTTATGACAAATAGAACAGCAACATGCCTAAAGAATTATAGCATATGAGTTCAAGTATATCAAGTGAAAGCCTAGGGATATAAGAAATACTAAATGGCTGTACTAGAGCAGGGGTCAGGAAACCACAGAACCCACTCTGTTTCAACAGGGCTCAAGAATTAAGAATTCATTTTTACAGATTTGTAATCAACTTGGTGATATGGAATATTAAATTGAACTACAATTAAAGAAATATTTATACCTCCCAAAAAGCATTTATTCTTCTGATTAATAGACCTACATTACAAATAAAAACAATTGTGCTCATTTCCTATTACATTTTTATTAATAAAAAAGAATGCAAATATGTTTTCTATTTCATTATTTAAGTACATATATAACATCTTTGATTCTGCCTTTTGGCCCACAAAGCCTAAAATATTTTATATAGCTCTTAATAGAAATAGTTTGCCCAATTCTGTATTACAGCACTATTAATTTTAATAGTGGGAAGCATTTTTAGACTTTTAGAAAATAAAGAGAAGTCTCAGCTGAAAATTGTAAAAAATTTTATGGACAGTAAGGAAGATCAAGGATCTCACACACTGGTCTTTTCAACCACATTTGCACACAATGACAACTAGCAAAATCCCCTTGACTAAAAGAAAAAACATTTTTATAGAATGAAGTATAAAGCTTTAAAATAACTTGATTGTAGTCCTATGCTCAAATGCTTGAAATTATAGAGAATTATGGCTCAGCATAATAAAAGCTGATTTCTAGCTGTCCAAATATACAATGGGCTGCATCTCAAAGTAGTAATCTAACGCTTTGAAACAGATCCCTTTCCTGCATCAGACACAGAAAATAGATTTTCCAGAATTATTCAACATGAAGTGGGTTCTTTTACCTGCTCTACACCTGAATTTGCTACACGATCTTGAATCACTTTCTCCATTTTTTTAAGTTTCTTACACATGTGTGTTTGTGATATATTACTAAAACAGCATCAAAATTACTTTCAGTTAAAAACTCAAATTCAATCTTCTCACCTTGATTATTTCTACCAACTGATCCACACCACTGTCCCCTGGAAATATTGGTTGTCCTAGCAACAGCTCAGCCAACACACAGCCTGCAGACCATACATCTGAAGAGAACATAAAGATTTATTAGACTCTGAAACTTAAGTTGAAAAAAAATGTATATATTTTCTAATTTTACTTAAATTACGCTGATCACAAAGCAAATATCACAAGGATTGTATAATCCTAAACAGGATTTTAAAAAATACAAAAAATTTCCCTAATTCAATTTTAAATTAGTGTTACACTTAACAAGGATGAAATAAGGCCAATGAGAATATTCCAATAAAGCATAAAGTATCATTTTCAACTACCAGGTCTTCAAGAGAGGATTAAAGTTCCAAAGCCACAGAATGACTGTGTACTTCTCTACTTAAAAACAGTCAAAGTGACACAATCTCTGCATGTTAGGAGATGCCTACAGAGGAGGAGCAATACAGGGTTCAAACTCCCACAGACACTGTGTTTTAAACCAATGAAAATTCTGACTTTTAAATGGTTGACTTTTATGTGAGATGACTGACAGAGAAATATGCTTAACTATATCATCATTCTAAATGCAAAGTAATGACAAAGACAGCAAGGTATATATTTCATTTCAATTTCATAAATCATCAAAAATAATTCATTTTTAAGTCAAAATGGGTATCCCAAAGAGAAAACTTTTAAAAATAATGTAATCAATAAATTGAATAACAATAAATTTTAAAAATTAATTTAAAGCACACATCTGGCTTATCTAGTATATTCTTGGTTTATATCTATTATCCTTGACTAATCATTAATAACACCCTCTTTCTGCCAAAAAAATATCTGAAGATAAATTAACTGATATAAGTGATCACTCCAGTTAAATTCTACTATTAACATTTCCTGCAAAGAAAAGCTATTTTTCAGTTTTCAGGTTTCTGAGATTCCTGGGTTTTGTATGTACCAAGACTGAAGTACTTTAGGGAGATGAACATATATTATTGCTATATCAAGACTGAAGTACTTTAGGGAGGTGAACATATATTAGTGCTAGATAGGTTTTTCTATCTACACGTAGGGAAGGAGAATAATAGTGAATGGTATGGAGATAGTACATCTCAAGAGGGATTCAAAAATCTCTGCTCAAGTGACTACTTTTATTGACCTAAAACAAGTCATAGATTTCATTTGAGAAAAGCCAAGTTGATTTTGTTCAGCTCCAAGTAATGACAGTCAAGACACTGGTTCTATAATGTAGACCAAGACAGTCAGTCCTATGTGTTACCTTAAGAAACTGCTCAATGGAACAAATGTGAAAACCTACTAGAGACTCTTTATTTCACTCAAAGCCAATTGTACTAAATTTTACAGATCCAAATGGAAAAAGTACATCTTACTAAATATTTTATTTTGATTCAAGTTTTAAATATTTCCTTCCTATCTGATTAGATAGAAGTTAGTGTGCACCTACTTTTTTCCTTAATAATACTGAATAATTCATCTCATAAGGCAAGGTCAGAAAAATTACTGGGGAATGCATTAAAAAAACAACGGAGAATGTAATAGGAGGATTCAATATAAATATGGAAAACATGAAATAAAATCAAGGAATACTATTACCTAGTAGTTCTCACCAAAATTAAAAATCAAAAAATTCGGCGACAACTATACTAAGTACCCTTTGATTCATGTTAAGTCAGTCAAAATACTAAAACCAGGTGTTATGGTTTAGATGTGGTGTCCCCCAAAAGCTGATGTGTGAGACAATGTAAGAGATTTGGAGGAGACATGATTGGGTCATAGTCCTACCCTCATCAGTGAATTAACCCTCTAATGGGATTAAATGAGTGGTAACTGGAGGCAGGTGGGGTATGGCTGCAGGAAGCGGTTCATTGGAGGTGTAGTTATGGAGTATATATTGGTATCTGGTGAGTAAAGTCTCTCTCTCTGCTTCCTGATCACCATGTGAGCTGCTTCCCTCTGCCACATTCTTCCACCATGTTGTTCTGTGTCATCCCTAGGAATAAAGCTGGCTATCTATGGATTGAGACTTCCAAAACCATGAGTCCCTAAATAAACCTTCCTTCTTTACAATTGTTTTCACCAGATCCTTTACTCACAGTGAGAAAAGCTGACTAAAACACCAGGGGGATACCACAACTTTTTTGTTCTTACTTCACAGGACAAAATGGGGAACTCTCCAAACATAAAAATTCAACTAAACAATAGGTTCACGCACCCCCCCCCCCCAAATGTTCTGGTCCATTGAAATTTAGTTATTTGGGGTTTGAGACACAGTGGCATTCTGTTTCATACTTAACTCTTATTCATGATAAAGTCATATTTCAAGACCATCTAATTTAACACATTTACTTCACAGATAAGGAACTTAAGGCACGATAAATGTAAACAACTTGTCAAAAGAAAAGCTGCTGATAGCAGAGCCCTAGACCTGGAATCCACCTTTAATTCCCAATGAAGACAACACTGTCTCAAAGTCACAGAATAACAGCTTCTTCAAGAGTCCATATGCTTAACTATCCTAAAAAGAAAGCCTTTGTTCTGATTCATTCATCTCTCAGTAAGATAATATAATCAATCTTAAGTGACTATCATTTCTAACATTATTCTTAAAAGTGTTTTTAAAATGTTCCTGTATTAGTATACTTCCAAATATCCTTTTTTTTTTTGGGGGGGGGGGATGTTTACAATTTTTTCAGAGCCTTAAGAGGCAGATCAAATCTAGGTTCGCTAGGGCTTCAAAATCCCTAGTTTATATAGACATTCCATGTGGTAGATGATAAGAGTTATGAGACTTTTTCGGATGAACCAAAGTGCGTTTATTTTAGGTGACCTGGGCACAACTCATTCCTGTGTCATTTCTGAAGATCATTAGTATCATATATTTGAATAAAATATAAAGTAGCTAAAAAAAATTCAATGACATTTCCAAAGACAAATAGGTAAAATTTACTCTAGGGGCCATTCAAATTAACAAATGCCACAGAAAGAACATCACTTTGCATTTCTATAGCACTTTCACTAATATTTTATGGACTCTCACAGACACTAACAAAGGTAGGTAGAACTGTTAATATCTAATTTCAATCTTACAGCTCAGCTAAGCACAATATTACAAGATTTGGAAGTCAAATCCAGGTTGAACTCAGGGAAAATATTCTTTGTACCACTTCTCATTTGTCTTTTAACATATTACCACATAACACAGACATTAGCATTACATACACACAGTGTTATATTCTCTCTCCCTTTGTGCAGCAGTTCTCAAAGTGTGCTCTGTAGAACCCTATGTCTTCTGGATATTTTCAGAGGTCCTGGGGAGCAAACCTATTTTCTTAAAGAATATGCTATTTCACTGGGTAGAAATTTGCACTTGATGGTACAAAACAAATGGTGGATAAAACTCTAGTCCCTTGGAACAAATGAAAATGTAATCCAGCATATCCCTTTTTGGCAAAATGAAAATGAAAATGTTAAGAATTTTTATTTGTATCATAAAGTCAAAAAGTTTCCAAAATTATTGTTCTTTTTCTTTCTTTCTTTCTTTAAGTTTTCAGTACTGCAGGGTTTTTGGGGGGCTGTGTATTTATTCTTTTCTATGTTCCAATTTTGGACTACAGAATTCTAATCAGAAAAAACATATAAGAATAAAATAATTTTTTGTATCCACTTGCACCATATATATAGCCTAAGCTTGCCCCTTGTTTCTTAGTTTCCTATTCATGTACAGCTGTTCATGTATGGTCTGTATTTTAACCAGGGTGCTAAAATGGGGAAGAAAAGGTCAATAGAGACTTCAATTAATTGTCTCCATTCATATCCTTCAATCACTAAACATCTCTGCTACAGACTTCTAAAGAATCAGTGAGCTGGACGCTGGGGTTGTACCTCAGTGGTAGAGCACTTGCCTCGTATAAGTGAGGCACTGGCTTCAATCCTCAGCACCACATAAAATAAAGAAAGAAAGGTATCGTGTCCATTTACAACTAAAAATAATTAAAAAAAAAAAGAATCAGTGATCTTGGTTGAACTGCTAATGATTTATGCTGACCTGAAGTTAAATAACCAAAATAAGACAGCATGGGATGAATTCAATAATATGGTCAGCCTGTTAATAACCTGTTAATTATTGTTAATAACCTGTGTTATTAACAATGAAATAACATTAAATTCTCTAACTGGCAATCAAGCTCAGAACTGAACATTTCAGGCAAATTTAAGAAAGGTATACAACTTAGGATTTGAATCATTAATAAAGTAAAAACAAATAGATAACCAACTATAGCTTTATAATTTTAGTACTCAAAGAAATCCTAAAGATTACAAAGTGTATTATAAATTCTTAAATGTAAAATTTAAATATATGTATATATATTTCTACATCTCATCTTTAAGAAAAAATATAGGTAACACCCTTCTTTCTAGGCCAGTGAAAGTAGATTGATAATAATGAATTGTTAAAACCAAGATGCAATTAATAATTATAAACATTATATTCAGATTCAGAACTTACCTATACTAGAGGTATAATCAGTGGCTCCAAAGATCAACTCTGGTGCCCTATAGTACCGAGAACAAATATATGAAACATTGGGTTCTCCTCGGACCAGCTGCTTTGCACTAATAAAAATATAAAAAATAAAAAGTGTTTAAAATTTAAACTTTAAAGGAACTTATAATTATCATGCACAATACCAAATGTTTATCTTTTAAGTTTCACATCATTCCAATCATCCAATATACAAAAGAGAAAATATGAACCATAACTATCCCAATCTACAATTTTCTCACATTTTTTTTCAGTAAAATAGAACAGAGATTTTAAAAGGCAGAATGGCTCAATTGTTGCCTAATAAAAAAGTGATTAAAAAGTCAGAAAAGAATAAATGTTGAATTTCTTCTGATTCTGTTTCCCAAATTCTACTTCTAAAATATTAAGATGGAAGGGCACAAAATGAAGAGACACCTCTCTCAACCAAAAGGCATGATAACAGATCAGAATAGAAGAAGGAATATTTCTAATTCAACATATCCTTACAATTTTACTTCTGACTCAGGATGAATATCTGAAGGAATACACACCTAATCTCTTTAATTTCCACATTTTGGTTTATTTATTAACTGTTTACATACTCATTATCCAATAAACTACAAAAAGATAGGCCTTAAACTTTAGGGAAGAAATTATTCACAACCTACAAATTCGGTCTCTTGTGGTAAGTCTATGTGTTCTCTTATTTCAACTTTAAAATACTTTGTAGTATGTATTTTAAACATTATAGTAAATTGTACTTAATATATTTTGAGATGTCTCTGAAGAAAAAATAAGCTGCTACAGAAGCTAACCATTTAAATAAGCTGCTACGAAAGAAGCTAACCATAATAACATCAAACATAGATACAGAAAATAAATACATGCAATAAAATTTTAAAAAGTAAGTGCCAAGAAAATTGTGACATAAAGGTACAGGAAAATCAGAATAACAATGGATGAAAATAGTCATAAGGATTTTGAAGTCTAGGCTTTCTTTTCTTCAATTTATTTCTAGTCAGTGATTACTAAATGACCTTAAAATTTTTTTACCCTTCATCACCATTTGGAGGGGCAGGGGGTACTAGGGATTGAAATCAGGGGCACTTGACCACTGAACCATATCCCCAGTCCTATTTTGTATTTTATTTAGAGGCAGGGTCTCACTGAGTTGCTTAGCATCTTGCTTTTGCTGAGGCTGGCTTTGAACTTGTGATCCTCCTGCCATAGCCTCCTGAGCCACTGGGATTACAGGCCTGCACCACTATCCCCCGCTCATCACTGGTTTAAAAGTTTATTTTTCACCCTTTCCCTCCCTAAGTACTGACAAACAAAAATTACACGAATCAAAAATGAAACGTATTTTTATGTTTTCTAAAAATTAAAACATTTCATTTCAAGCAGAGGTGATAAGAAACTTTTCTACCTTTAAAAGTCCACTTTTTAAAACAAAATAGATTCCAATTACAGTTTAAAAATCCACTGCAAGTCAAATGGTAACAATGAAAGCTTTGTAGTCTATAGACTCTTTCACTACTTGATACATGTGTCTACCCTCTTTCTCTTACAAAATAAGGCTGTTTGTAAAACTCCCTACTCAAAAGAATTCTTAGCCCATGTAGCCCTTCAGCTACCTTCAGGTGCTGTTTCACCCAGTAAAGAATTAATAATAAGACATTAATACTGGTCTGTTCAAATCTCCACCAACCTAGTACCTGAGTATCAAGTGTCTCTCAAACCCTACTTGCCCAAAACAATTTTGTTAAAAACCAAGAAAGCACCTTTGTTATCAAAGAGTTTATAAAAATGCAGTCTTACCATACAAATAAAACCCCTGTTCCAAATTTATTAGAATAAAGTCTAGGCTTTCTTTTCTTCAATTTATTTCTAGTCAGTGATGACTAATGACCTTAAATTTTTTTACCCTTCATCACCATAAACTGTCTAGTACAGACAGTTATCCTGTTAGTTCCTCTCTGGTATTATCATTTAAAACAGTCTTTTGCTCTTTTCTGCCCTGAAGAGATCTCTCTGTTAACTTGGATTTTCCAGGTTTTTTCATCCTTATCACAAATTAGAACATAAAATATTATGTTCTAACAACATGGCCAGTCTCAACTGTGTTTTGACACTAAGAGAGAAAAGAAACTACTAATCTTGGTGTCACAGTCTTTTTAAAGTACTTAGCAGTCAATTATTCTCAGTGGGAAAGATATGCATAATGATAAAACTCATCTAATTTGGGCAAATATCCTACAAAAAATAAGTAGTCATACTTTATTTTAAGCATCAAAAGTTTTGATTTTTTTAAGTTTTTTTTTTTTTTAGTTGTAGGTAGACACAATACCTTTATTTTATTTATTTATCTGTGGTGCTGATGATCAAACCCAGGGCCGCACACGTGTTAGGCAAGCGCTAACAATCCCAGCCCCAAAGTTTTGATTTGATTTTTTCCCCACTTTTATAGTTCAAAGGACAGAGTTATAGTGAGCTGTGTCCTAGGATAGGTGTTTAAAATTAGGAGATAGTAAAATGGGATGGCTGAAAGAGAATACATTTCTGAGACTATTAAGAATTAATTTATGATAAGCAGATGTGCTTGGTTTTTAAGGATCTCTCTACTACAGCCTGTGGAAAATATATCCTATGTGAAACCTAAAATTTGAACTGTGGGATGTGAAAGTATTATAAAGAAGTAAGAACACAGATACTACCAGGTCTGAGTCAATATGTAATCTACAAAGTTAAGTTGAAAAATAAGAATTTGTGATAAGGATGAAAAAACCTGGAAAATCCAAGTTAACATAGAGATCTCTTCAGGGCAGAAAAGAGCAAAAGATTGTTTTAGATGATAATATCAGAGAGGAACTAAAGGATAACTGTCAGTACTAGAAGGGAATATAGGCTTGACTGCATGGAAATGGAAAGGATAAGGTTTTATTACCAAGTCACAGTATATTACCAAAGAATAAGTTTAAGAATTCAACAAATTTGTAGGAATTTACATAAAAGAAGGGAGAATAAGAGATTACTAGAGGAAAATAAAAATAAAAGTTTCAACTAGATCCACCTTTTACCTTATTCCTGAATTGAGGTTAATTCTGAAGTTAAAAGGATACATAGCAATGTATAAAAAAATATTTTAATTAGTTCTTACTGAAGAAATTAATATACACATAATATACATTTGACCAACACTCAAATATAATCAATGAAAAAGTGAGTATCCCAACTACATTATATTCCCCAAATTTCTCTACCCAGGGGAAATATTATAGATTACATATTATTTTAGAAACAAGTCATATGCATGTGTGCATGCATATATATATATATGGATATACATATATACGCATACACACATATATATTTTGAAATGTATACACACACACACATATAATCACAGTTTATTTTTTTAAAGCAAAAGGTAGCATACTACACAGTCTTGACCTTGCTTTTTCTATTTAATATTTACTAGAAATGATTCCCTTCTAGTTCATAAGGAGCTGCTTCATTCTTTTTCTTGGTGGCATGTATAACATTTTATTTGTATATATCTTAAAATTTTTTTGACATTTTCTTACAAATAGGTATTTATAAACAATGAATGATTAAAAATCTCTGTACATACAGAATTTTGTAAAATAATATTTTCAATGAAATAATTCCTAAAAGTTAAATTGTCACTTAAAAGAATACACACACTTATAATTCTAACAGAAATAATCAAAACTACCCTTACAAAGAATTGCATTAGTTTATGCTCCCTTAGTAAGGGTCTAGACTGAAATTGTAAAAGGAATATATTTAATAAAATGATTATTTTTGGGACAGGGAGTGATAGAAAAGGTGCCGAAGGGGGAGCCAGCTTACCTTCCAAAATCACAGAGTTTTAAGACAGCTGTATCAGGATCCAACAAGAGGTTCTGTGGTTTAATATCCCGGTGGCAGATTCCAAAGGAATGGATGTAGGCTAAACTTCTGAACAGTTGATACATATACAACTGGAATAAATAATGAGCATTAATTGAATACTTCCTATTTCAATCAAACTAGAATCACTAAGCCACAAAATAGTAACATTCCCAACACAGAACAGGTGAATACTGGTGATTACTCAATCTTCTTTAAACAAGTTTCATGTCATGTCTGTATGAATTAGCTAACTTAAGTATCATTAACCATGTATTTGTACCATCCTTTAATAACTTAAAAAAGGAAACCTGACAATGAGCTTTATAAGCTCTTACTTACTAACATCTTATCTCCAACTAGCTGAGTTTTTATTTAAAACAAGATATAAAACTCAAGAGAGATATCCCAAATCCTATGACTCAAAACCAATATTTGGATGAGAAGCCAAGTCTTCTGATTTTTTAGTTCATCATTCTTTCTAGTATGTCAGGCTGCTTAATGTGAAAAGTATTTCCAATGTCATCTTCAGAATCTTTTTTTTTTTAATTGATATGTCAGTTTCTAAGGTTATTGAAAACTCACAGGTGTGCTGAAAAAAATTAGCAATTACCTATCAAAACATCAGTAATCCTTTAGTAGCATCACCACTCTTTTTATTAATATCCTTCAGAAATAAGATTTTAAATACCATTTAAAAACACATGCCTAGGTGAATACTGACATCACCTTAAAAGATAATTTTCTTCAATTCTACTACTAAAAGAGATATATAGTTGAAACATACTATAAGAATACCATAATCCTGCGCTGGGGCTATAGCTCAGTGGCAGAGCAGTTGCCTAGCATGTGTGAAGCACTGGGTTTGATCCTCAGCACCATATGGAAATAAATAAAATAAAGGCCTGCTGTCCATATACAACTACAAAAAAAAAATTTTAAAAAAAGAATACTAAAATCCTCTGTTTATCCAAAGGCCAGTAGTGATCTAATTCACTCCCTCCCACCTTGGATCTTGGGTTCTCTTTGTAAAAATTTTTAAATAATTCACTTTGTAATTTTTCTGGCTGCTTACCTTCTGACCGCTAGCCCAAAATTAATTACATGGCAAAAAAATTGTGAAATGATTCAAACCAAAGATAAGAGTGTCTTGGTAAAATAATGAAAATTTGAAAATGAAATAAAATTAAAAGATACAGGTCAGATTAAAGCATTGACATATGATGACATATGACTTGTGATAAGGGTTGGATTACTTAATAGGAAACCTACTTTCCTTCAGAGGCATGACGGAAACTACAAACAGGTGAATTTCAATACATCTTTAATATTAATATTAAGTTGGAAAAGTTTAAGCCTTCTTTAAAATGAAATATGACATAAAATGCAAACATAAGGTGAATTCAATAAGATCAGCACTTGCCACTAAACTTAGAATTAAAATATTCAGGTATTCATGTATCTTTTTTAAAACTATGTAATTCTATAAAAGTGTATAATTGTTCACAGAATCAATCTCGAAGTCTTAAGATGTATTCTGCAAGTTTAATTCTTTATCACCTAGAAAATGATCTATAAGCAACTGAATTCACAGGTACTCATCTACTAAAATAAAGATTTTACCAACTCTATGAGGGTTTCAACATCTACGTCAGCAAAAAAAAAAAAAACAAATGAAAACAAAAAGTTTTCTTTAAAAAAATGCTAAACAGCTTAAATTAGGTTAATTTCAAGATGACGTTTTACTATATTCTTTCATCTGAAAGATAATCTCCATTCTCTTCACTTGATTCTTTATTCTTTAGATTAACAATAAAATACTCATTTTCACATCTTGTTGTTCCACTTTGTAAAAGCATACTTATAAGAAACCTAAAAGGCTTTCTACAGAAGTTAGGCACTATTCTAGTGCTTTATATGTATTATTTCACTTAATCCTGGAACAACCCCATGTAATCCATAAATACTACTATTATTTTATTTTATAAAATAAACCAGGCCTTTCAGGTAACCAGGCCCAGAGAGATTAAATAACAGCCCACTATCACATTTGCAATCTTCTGTAATGGTTTGAGGATGAATACTCCTCTTTAAATTTTACTTTCTTTATTCTGCCATATCTTTACTCTAATGAACCCAATTTGAAATATAACGTATTATTTTAACAATTTTTACAATCACTCTGTGATATATACATTTCCCCTTATTTTTCCAGGAGAGGAAATTGAGGCTCAGTGAGCACAGTAATAAAGTTAATCTAACTCAAGGCCAATGTACTCCCCTCTGTGCCACCAAATCTGTTTAAAATAAATAACAAAATAACAAAAATGTATCCAGCTCTCTTATGTATTCAGACCTTGTCCTTAAACAAGTTAGTTTGTTTTCCCAATTATTTAAAAACAAACAAAAAAACCCACTTGAAGCTGGGTGTAGTGCACACATCTAGAGCCCCACCTACTCACGGGGCTAAGGCAGGAGGATCATTTGAGCCCAGGAGTTCAGAGCCAGCCTGAGCAACATAGTGACACCTCACCTCAAAAAACAAAACAAAAAATTTAAATTCATACCAATGATTGGATAGCCATGTGTTTCAGAATTACATTTCAAAACATACTTAGTTCTGAAAGATGCACAGCACAAAAACACAGGCACTCAAAACTTTTTATCTTATAACTATTATCAACTACAAAAAAGGCAATAGAAGTAGAAAAGGGGTGAAGAAACAGGTTCCAAACAATATAGTCAGAGAACAACTCAACTCACCTAGAAAAAGTGAAAGTAAATAATCACAAAGAAATGCATTTTCCATTTTGGTAACATGTATGCCAAACAAGTCCTTATTAGATGGTGATCATAAAAGAGTTGTATGTAATTTGTCACTTTTATTTCCATCTCCCAAACTAAGATTTTTCAAATAATAGGACTACAATTAAACTATGCAATATAAATAAGTGAAGGAGCTCAACTCATAAATTCATTAACTGTAGACAATAATTTTTCTCTTTTCAGGACTTTAAACATACAAATAGATTTGTATCTCCAGAGAATAATACCTAGGGCCAAGAGTTCTGATTCTGAAAGAGCTGTAGTTAAAAAGAAAAAAAAAAGAAAGAGCTGTGGTTATTAAAAAAAAAGAATAATTCCTTTTTTTTCACAAGGAGAAGAAACAAGTACAAGATTTCTTTCTAGTATGTCAACTTCAATATGCACAATTTAATTTTATTTTTTAAAGATAGAATGTCAGAGATGAAGCCCAACTATAAGCTGGCAAAATACGAAAATACGGAGTGATCTCCAGGATATATTTTTCAATCCAGGAAAATATAAAAGAGATCTCCAGGATGTATTTTTATACCCCACCCCCACCCCCCAAAAAGAAAAATTTATACATTTAGAGAAAAAGGGACTAGAATTGGGTAAAATAATTACACACTGCTTGTTTTTTAAAATGATATAATAAATTGTTTTAAAATATTTAAGACCATTTAACTGGTAGAAGGAACACATAAAAGTTAATCTTCTTTGAACATATTTTGTACTTTGAAAGCATGTAAATATTAAAACATGTAAATGTTAATTTAAAAGTAAAATTAATTTAGCATTTTAAAATTACAACTATAATAACAGTAAAATGAAATTACAAAGCTTAATGAGGTATAATCACACAAAGAGAGTTCTTCAATGTTGCTTTAAAACAGATACCTTGGTTAATTCCTAATGGGATTGAATGGGAGGTTAAAAAATGCTTCAAAAAGATCTTACATTATTGTCAGCTAGAGGTGCTAACAAGTGGGTGATTATAATGCTGTCATTGAGAAGTGAAATTTTCAGTGTTAAGTGTGGAAGATTATCAGGGTTTAAAAAAATAGACTCTGATGTCATGTAAAACTAAGAAGAACCAATAATAATTTTTAAAAAAGATATGATTTTTAAAAACCCTCAATTTTAATTGGAAGTATCAATATGAATTTATTGTGTATTTACCCTTGGGGGAGAAAAACAGATGTGTTATATCTTTGAAAAAATTACCCACATCTCCTAGCTCTTTTTACTAAAAATATCCAGAAGCAGTAACCAACCCTGTAGCATTTAGCACCTCCGGCATTTAGACTGTGATATCTAAAAAACATTTGTTACTAAAAGAACATGGTCTCCTTGAAGAAAAAGTTGATTCCAAGTATGAGAAAGAAATGTGTAAGATGAACCTGGAACACTATTCTAGAAAACAAGAAAGCTATCAAATAGTATAAACAAACAAACAAACAAACAAGAAAACACCCAACTAGTCACCTATGAAGGATGTTATAGAACCAACCAATTCTAAATTTTGCTAAATAATACTAAGGAAATCAAATATATACCTGTCTTTTTATATAAACTGTACTTTATAGAGTACAGATAAAAGTACATGGGGGACTGGGGTTGTAGCTCAGTGGTAGAGCCTGGCATGTGTGAGGCACTGGGTTCGATCCTCATCACCACATATTTTAGTTTTGATTACTAAAACTAAAATAAAAAAAGATTAAATGGGGAAGTTTCTCTTTATGAAAGAATTCCAGCTCTTAAGATGAAATAAAAACATTCAACAATAACATTTTATAAGGCCTATGTGGTGCTGCACACCTGTAATCCCAGCAACTCGGGAGGCTGATGAAGGAGGACCACAAATTCTAGGCCAGGGAAACTTAGCAAGGCCCTGTCTCAAAATTAAAACGGTCAGGGATGTAGATGAGTGGTAAAGTGCCCTTGGGTTCAATCCCCAGTACCAAATAAACAAATTAAATAAGTAAGATGGCATCAGTATTAGAAACCCCAAATTAAATAATACTAAATAAATAAATATATTAAAATGTTTAAAATTGCCAAAAGTTTAAATTTCTGCTACAGATACAATAAATGTACCTATAAATGTCAATAAGACCTTAAATTTGAACATATTTATAAGTATATAATTTTATGTGAGTCTACATGATATGTTCCTATTTTGGTCTGTGGCACAATAAAGATCAGAAATTAAATGAAAATAAGCAACAGATAGCAGAATAAAAATCCAAAATTGTCTATGAACAATTCACTAAAATTTATCAGAATACCTTTAATATGTGTCATGAAAGTTTTAAAAGTGAAATCTCATTATTTTAAAACCATACAAAAATTTACCAAACTAGCATTATCTACCTTAGCAGTTTTTCCTCCCTGAGAATTAAATGCAGTAATACAATTTAAAAATATCCTGTATTCACCCTGGCTCACAACAAATATTTTCCAAAATGGGAAGTTGTTCCATTTTTACATACCTTGACGTAGATCACAGGGAGAGTCTGTTTGGCTCTACTATAGTGTCTGGCAACTCTGTATACTGTTTCCGGAACATAGTCCAGCACCAGATTAAGGTAGACCTCATCTTTCTGAAAAGGTTTATTCAAAACAAAAAACAAAACAGATTACAAATTGGCCTTTCTTTAAATACTCAAAGTAAATTCCCTATACATTCACTTGTTCAGATTTTTAAATAAAAAAATTGTGTGTTCAATTTTAATTACACAAAATTATTTTAGAAAATAACCAAAACAGTAAAAACAAGTGTACACACCTTAGTAATAATTCCATGTTAAAAACATGGATGTTTCAATACTGTTAAGATTCCCAATCATATTTAAACTATTATTTTGTTTACCATGATTTTCAAAGATATCGCCAATCACAAAATTTCCTATCTTCTAAGCTGAGAATTAATGTCTTCATATCCTACCAGTAAAGCAGTATGGTAGTACTGAATTGAGAGCTAAGAAAAACAGATTTCTAGCATTAGCTCTGATGGAATTAGTATGTGCAAGTCAATCACTGTAGGCTTCAGTTTCATCAGCTGTAATTTGATTAGATATTGTTCAAAATGTCTCTACTGTCCAGTTGGATATGGTGGTACATGCCTGTAATTCCAGAAGATTCAGGAGGTTGAGGAAGAAGGATCTCAAGTTCAAGGCCAGCCTCAGCAACTGAATGAGGCATTTAGCAAATTAGGGAGACTGTGTCTCAAAACAAAAAAAAAAAAAAAAAAAAAAAGAAAAAATGGATTCAGTTCTGGTACTAAAAAAAAAAAAAAGTCTCTAATCTCCACAAAAAAGATTTTATGGTTACTTAATAGTATATAATTAGTAAAATAATCACTTGTGTTCTATAATTAACTGTAACAAAAAGAGTAACTCTTAAGGAAGTGAGTTACCACATAAAGGTCATATGTTTAAATATCCTTTCTTTTAGCAGCACAAAGACACCAACTCATGATCTGAAGAAGGGATTCCAACCAAGTAAGAAAAGAGGAACAACCTGTACCCTGTTCATGTAAATGATATCAGTTAGATAAATCAAAGTAGAAAATGAAGCTGAGAATCTATGAGTGGGAAAAACTACAGGTAAACAAACTTCCATAATTTCCAAATATGAAATTATCTTAAGCTACCAAACTGAAATAGAGAATTTAAATTTTCAGCATTTACTGTACATCACTAGTCAATGCAGAGGAATTAAGTGTGCAGGTATAAAAGAGGCAATGAAAATTGAGTATGCAAGGAGGACTTCAGGTGGAGTGAAAACAAATCACAATGTGAGGTCAAAGTGAATGGCAGATACAAAGAGGATTCAGATGTCAAAGTTTTCTTTTTTTAAAAAACTCATAATAACAGGCTGAGGTTGGGGCTCAGTGGCAGAGCACTTGCCTCACACATGTGAGGCACTGGATTCAATCCTCAGTACCACATAAAAATGAATAAGTCAAAATAAAGATATTGTGTCCATTTATAAGTAAAAACTATTTTTAAAAAAACTCTTAATTACAACTTTTTTATTTTAATAAATCATTTGAGAAAAGTTAATTGTGATATATTTATTAACAACTTGCAGATATGCACAGCATTGGGTTACAATTTATTTCATTTGCTAAACAATCATTCTAAAAGGGAAGAATACAAAGAATAAAAGACTACTGTTGTGTTCAATGGTGGTTTTCTTGTAGTAAGACTATGAACTCTGTCCTTTATAAGTGCTTTATAAGTGCATTTACGAGGGGTTGTAAGGGCAAATACCTTCAATAGCTAATTAACAAATGTAAAGGTATAGCCAAACTCTGTAAAGCAGTAAGGGACAGTGGTTGGTCAACCAGTGCAAGACTTAATTAAAAGCACCTCCCCCCCCAAAAGAGCAATATGCTACCTAGTCAAATAAAACATATTAGGAGATAGATTTTACAGTCAGCATATAATCTCTAATTTTAACACAGCCAACTAAGATTGACACAAACCTAGGAAAAATGGCTTAAAATGGAAGACTGAAGTTTAAGACTCTAATGGGCTAGAATGAAAGACCAAATTTACAACATGAAATGTAATAGAGCCCTATCAACTTATTATATAGAGGTCTGGGGATGTGGCTCAAGAGGTAATGCGCTCGCCTGGCATACACGGGGCGCTGGGTTTGATCCTCAGCACCACATAAAAATAAAATAAAGATGTTGTGTCCACCACAAACTAAAAAATAAATATTAAAAAATTCTCTCTCTCTGTAAAAAAAATAAATAAATAAATTTATTATGTAGAATGATAGACCAGACAGAATCAAGATATACACAGCAGTAATCCATTTGCAAAGTAAATGATAGGTGTAAATGACTAGAATGGAAAAGGAGTCTCGTTGAGAGATTGCTAATGAAAAACATAACACAACAACAGGATATGACAGAAGTACTGTGTTGCAGATTTCAGGCCTCATTTAAAGTACTGATGATATCCCTTTTTAAAGCATATTTTATTCATGGTAGCAGCAAAGTGCAGTACATCAAAGGACGGTTAACAAATAATGTATGCTATAAATTCAACACTCTAATTTATTATTTTATGAAAAATATGAAGGCTCAAATAAATTATCTTTTTAAATTTATAAATGTTTAAATGTAAATTAAAGCCACAACAATAATCCCTGAGGAAGGGGAGAATTCAACCCTCCGAAACATAAGAGAAAAGGGCTGAATTCAGCATTTTTAGCACTTATAATTTCCTGAAACATTCTCAGGGTCTGCTGTTTTCTTTTCTTTTTTCTTTTTGTTTGGTACTGAGGATTGAACTCAGGGGCATTCAACCACTGAGCCACATCCCCAACCTATTTTGTATTTTATTTACAGACAGGGTCTCACTATGTTACTTAGTGCCTTGCCATTGCTTTGAACTCTCAATCCTCCTGCCTAGCCTCCCAAGCTGCTGGGATTACAGGCAGGTGAAGTGGCACCCAACTCAGGTCTGCTGTTTTCTTAATGTAATCTCTCTTGGATTACCTGACTGAATTCTGGAAAACTCACAGATTAGTTGTAAAAGTTAAAAGCTGATACAGAAATAAAACACATTAAAGAATAGGACTTCAGATGTAGATTATAAAAACACTTATTTCACACCAACATGAGGAAGTACTAAACTCAAAGAGGTGTTACTAGGCTTCCAAAACTGGCTAAGAAGTCACTGCTACTTTGAAAAGAATTATATTTTTATACAAAGTGGGTCTTATTCAAAAACCTCAAAAAAAACGAAGGTATAAATTTAGACAACATTTTTTGCATATTAAAGAAATTTAAATGACAGGACTTCGATTATACCTAACAAGTCAAAAACAGCAGGGGTAACTCTAACATGTCTTCAGAAAATAGATAATATTTTTATGCCCAGATAACTTCTGAGGTCAAGAAAACAAAATGGCTTAAGTCTACAGTTTTAAATAGAACCATGGTGGGATACAAAGCAGTGTATCAGAGAACGCAGTAATAAGGCATTCAACCCAATGTCATGGTAGACCAGGATTCTCCTTGGAATCGGGTCAAAAGAACTTCATAACAGTTATCTTTCCTCTGATGGGTAAAATGGGCTAGCGAGATGGAAATAACATGAAAGGCAAAGGGTATGCATTAGGGCAAATCTTTTCTGTTTTGAAACTTTGGGGAAGGAATGGAAAGGGGAGGTAAGCAGCTAGCAAACAACAAGTAAGGTAAGCTTTCTCCCCATCTGACATCTTAAAATAAATACCCAAATTACAAAAAGATGTTTTTTTAAAAAAACTGCAAATGTATTAGAAGAAAATATGAGTGTTTCTGCAAACCTTGGAGGACAAAAACAGCTATAAGCTATTAAGGAAAATATGCCAAATTGGTTACATAAAAATATGAAACTTTTATATTACTTTAAAAAAAATCACATAAATTATTTCTAAAAACTATGATAATTAGGAGGAGAATAATTATTTCAGTTACACATGTCAAAGGACGAATTTGTTTTTATTTAAATACTGAATAAGACAAGACCAATATTCAAATAGAAAAAAAATGGAAAGAAAGGTGTTATGGTTTGGATATAGAATGTCCCCAAAGGTTCACGTATTGAAGGTTTGGTCACCGATGTAGTAATATTCAGAGGTAGGACCTTTAGAAAGCTGAGTGGATCATGAAGGTTCAGACCTCATGAGTAGGTTAATGCACTGATGAGTAGGTTAATGCAAATCATGAATCATTTGATGGCATTATTGAGAGGTGGTAAAAACTGTAGGAGATGGAGTATGGTTGAAGGAAGTAGGTAATAGGCAGCACACCCTGGTAGAGTATATCTTGTCCCCAGCCCCTTCCTCTCTCATTTGTTCTCCGTGCTTACAGTCTGCCATGAGGTAAGTGGCATTCCTGTACTGTATCCTTTGGCACTGATGTTTTGCTTACTTCAGGCCCAAAGCACTGGAGCCAGCTGACCACAGACTGAAACCTCTGAAATCATGAACCAAAATAAATTTTCCTCCTCCAAGGTTTTTTGTTTGTTTTGTTTTGTTTTTTTCCCTCCCTTTCAGGTATTTTGTCCCAAAGATGAAAAGCTGACCAACACAGAGCATGAAGATAGATAGTCACACAAATAGCCAACAAAAATGTGGAAAGATGTTCAACCTTACTAATAATTAAAGAAATATAATAAAAAATATAATGAAGTTACCATTTTTCACCTATCAAACAGGAAAAGATAATTCAATCCTAAGAAACCTAAGTATGAGAAAAGGTCACTTTCCAAAATGCACCACAACACCATTCTGGTGGAAACTCAAAACTCATGCAACCTTTTGGGAAAGTAAATAGGTTAACCCATTTCAGCCCAAAGTGAAGACATACAGACTCCCAATTTGACTCAGCAATGCCATTTCTAGGAATCAAGTTTATGAAAACAATTGTGCATGTATGTGTGCCCTTATGCATGTGAATAAAATTCCTTGCTATTTGTGACTTTCACACAGGAAGGAAGGTAGAGAGAAAGAAAAAGAAAGGGGGGAGAAAGCTACAGATTGTAAAGTTGATGAGGTACTCTTTCTATAACTTAGAAGTTTCATTTAATTAAAAACA